TAATTTTATTATTGAACCCCATAATTATTTTACCAATCCCCTCCCTTTAACCCTCTTTTTCTCTCCCACAGACCTCCCACCATGCGCCGCCGCCGCCGCTGCTCCGCTCTCACCCCGGAATTCCCGACTTTCCTCCCGGAATTCCCGAACTTTCCGCCGTTCCTGCCTTGATTTCCCGAGGCCGCCGCCATGAGCTCCCAGCGCTCGGAAATCCCCGCCCTGCCCAAAATGGGCGTCCGCGCCCGCGTGGCCGAGTGGCCCCCGCGATCCAAAGATTCTCCGGAAATTCCCAAAAACCCTCGGAATCTTCCCCCCTCCCAACCCTCCTTCAAACCCTTCCACCGCCGCTTCCTCCCCAGCTCCAAAGAGTTGGAATTCCAAGACGGAATTTTGGGAATCCCCTTGCGCCAGCGCAGCAGCAGCGAAGCGACGCTGAGCGAGTGCGACGCCGAGGAGACGCCGGAGAGCCGCGGCAATTCCGGCCTTTCCGCCGGATTTTTCCGGGAATACGGCAGCACCTCTTCCATCGACGTCCAAGGAATCCCCGAGCAAAGCTTCTTCCAGATGCTCGACGAATTCCGGGCGAAAAAACCCGAATTTTCCGCCGGCAAATCGGAAAGCCGCGACGACGAGAACCACGAGGAAATCCGGGATGAGATCCGGGAACAGCAGCCCAAGGAAAAACCCCGGCGCCGCTGCCTGAAAACCGACGACTCCATCTTCAAAAAACTCCGCAGCTCCCGGCACGACGCCGACGCCGCCGAAGATTCCCGAATTCCGGAGGCGCCAAAAGCGTGGATTTGCCGGAAAAGCTTCGCCCACTTCGACGTCCAGAGCATTTTGTTCGAGGCCGTCTCGGCGCGCTCGGCGTCGACGCGGCGCCGCAACACCACCACCGGCGCCTCGGCCGCCTCGGCCGGCGCCGATCCGGCGTTTCCCGGCGCCGAGGATCAGAATTCCAAGGAAAACCTGGAGAGGGATTTGGGGGACAACACCAGCAACGAGCTGCTGTTGAGCTGCCCCCATTTTCGCAACGAGATCGGCGGCGGCGGCGGCGGCGAGCGCGACGTCAGTTTTGCCAAGTCGGCGTTTTCGGCGGCGCCGAATTCCGGGTTTTTTACGGAATGCGGGAACGGAGGCAAGGTGAGCAACGCCGGCGTTTCCATCCTGGAATTCCCCAAGGAGCAGCGCAGGAACCCCGAGAGGGTCGGCGGTTACGGCGTGGAGCACGCCGACCTCGGCGCCACCTACTACCGGGACTACTTCCTCGGAAAAGGTTTGGGATTTTGGGATTTTTTGGGAATTTATTGGGAATTTGTCGGGAATTTTGAAAGAATTTTTTTTAGGATTTTTTGGGATTTTTTTGGGAATTTATTGGGAATTTTTAATGATTTTTTTGGTGATTTTTTGGGAATTTTTAGAGGTTTTTTTGGAGGTTTTTTGGTGATTTTTTTTGGTGATTTTTGGGGATATTTTTCAGAATTTTTTTGGAATTTTTAGAAGATTTTTATGGGATTTTTGGGATTTTTTTGGAACTTTGTGAGATTTTTTTTGGGGAATATTCTGGAATTTTTGGAGGATTTTTTCGGATTTTTTTTTGGATTTTGTTCAATTTTTAGAGAATTTTTCTAGGATTTTTTTGGGGATGTTTTTGGATTTTTTTTGGAAATTTTTGGTGGGTTTTTTTGGGAATTTTTTGCAGATTTTTGGGGAATTTATTTTGATTTTTTCGCAAATTTTTTTGGAATTTTTTTGTGGATTTTTTTTTAATTTTTAGGGGATTTTGC